CAACGATCAGCTGGATACTTAAGATTGACCAATCAAAACAAAGGTGACATGGTACTAATCAGATGCAGAGCCACTGGATTCATCACTGCTATCGCTACTGGCGTCGCTGTCGTCGTCGTTGTCGTCTTGGTCCTTGATGTACTTGGCCAGCCTCTCGAGCTGCCGGTCGGCCTTATATATATATGGTACTTTGTAGGCCGAAACGAGAGCTACATTTCGTCTTTTAACTTTTTTCTGAGTGTAATTTTTGCAGAAGTTATTCCACAAAGCCCCCTCGGGTCTGTCGACTACTGTAAACAGTTATAGTCTCCAACAATTGATAAAGTTCTCGCAAGAGTACTGATTTTCCTCGCTAAGTCAAACCAAACGGTTCATTCTATGTAATTATAGCAGTACATCCAAATATAGAGGTATAATTTGTTGTACACACTTCGAAAACCAATCAAATCAAATTCATTTCAGACACGTTTGATGTGAATATGGACAAGTCATTGTCCAAATTGACCGTGCGATTCCAGCAGTTGACAACGGTCGACTGCGACACAGATCGCCACGCGTCCTTTGCCCACCCCATCGCATCAACAAGAGGTACATCGTACAAATGCATTTGACGTCCTTGCATGACGTTGTCGATTTGGTCCAGGGCGTTTTGCAGTTGTCTCTGCTTCAGCTTCGCCTTGAACGCAGCAATGATCCCAGCGTCCTGAGGTTGGAGGTGTGCCGTTGTGTTCTTCGGCAGCATCTTTACGCGGACATTCGATAGGGTAAGCCCAACGGTAGATTTAGTTGGGACCCGAGCGAGATTAAATGATTCCTTCGCCCACAAAGCGAGATCAGAATACTGCTTTGTTGGATGCTGCATGTGATGCTCATACAGCTCATGTCTTCATGAAGTGTCATTCTCTCCTTCATCGCTGAAAATTCAAAAATTAATCGAGCACCTTCCTCCAACGTAATCCGCCCAGTTTCAAAATGCAAATTGCCTTTCCAGCTTTAAATATTGACTTTCAGAGATTATTCACTTTGTGGCGTTCGACTTAGCGAGGGAAATCAGTATATTCGTTCGTAGAGTCATAATATCCTTGACGGAGTTAATTAGTTTGCCATCTGATAATTCATACTTCATTTTAATTGGTCAGCTTTGGGATCATGGGGTGCATGAATTGCATGAATATTTACCTTTCATTCTTCAACATGCCCGCAATGCCAGGACTCGCCACTGAACTCTACGACGAGATCACAAGCTTCGTCGATAGTGAGCGAACGCGAAGTTTATCGAGAGACGACCGTTGCAAAAGATGTGTTGACTTTATTGTATGAGCATGG